TGAATTAATATTGCTAAAATATACTACCTAAGGCAATCTACAGATTAAATGCAATCTCTACCAAAACACCAATGACATTCACCACAGAAACGGGAAAAAAAAAATCCTAAGGTTCATATGGACCCACAAAAGACCCAGAATAGCCAAAGCAATCCTGAGCAAAAAGAACAAAGCTGGAGCCACCACACTACCTAACTTCAAAATATACTACAAAGCTATAGTAACCAAAACAGCATGGTACTGGAATAAAAACTGACACATAGACCAATTGAACAGAATAGAGAATCCCAAAATATATCCATGCATTTACAGTCAATTCATTTTCAATAAAGACACCAAGAACATATAGAGGAGAAAGGACAGGCTCTTCAATTTATTTTCTTGTATAAACTGGATGTCCATATGCAAAAGAATAAAACTAGACCCCTATCTCTCACCATATGAAAAAAATAAAATCAAAATGGATAAATGACTTAAATGTAAGACTTGAAACTATAAAACTACTAGAATAAAACATTGGAAAAGTGCCTCAGGTAATGTATATGGGCAAAGACTCTATTGAGTAATACCTCAAAAGCACAGATAACAAATGCAGAAATACCCAAATGGGATTATATCAAGCTAAAAATCTTCTGTATAGCAAAGGAAGCAGTCAACAGAGTGAAGTAACAACAAACAGAATGAGAGAAAATATTTGCCAACTGTCCATCTGACAAAAAATTAATAGCCAAAATATATAAGTGACTCAAACAACTCAATAACAAAAAAACACAAATAATCTGATGTAAAAGTAGGCAAATGCTCTGAACAGACATTTCTTAAAAGAAGACATACACATGGCCAATAGATATATGAAACATGCCCAAAATCATTAATCACCAGGGAAATGAAAATCAAAGTCACAAGAACATATGTTACCCCAGTTAGAATGGTTATTATCAAAAATACAAAAAATAAATGCTAAAGAAGATGCAGAGGACAGAGAACTCTCATACGCTGCTGATGGGAATATAAATTAGTACAGCCATTATGAAAAACGGTATGGAAAACTAAACATAGAAGTACCATATGATCCACCAGTCCCACTGCTGGGTATTATATATATTCAAAATAAGAAAAATCAATATATCAGAAGAGATATTTACATTCCTATGTTTATCAGAGCCCTATTCACAATAGCCAAGATAAGGAATGAACCTAAATGCCCACTGATGGATGAATGGATAACGAACATGTGCTGTATTTACACAGTGGAATATTATTTAGCTATAAAAAGGAAATCCTGTCATTTGCAGCAACATGGATGGAACTGGAAGACAATATGTCAATTGAAATAAGCCAGGTACAGAAAGACAAATATCACATGTTTTCACTCATATGTGAGTAGGGGTTATAAAAGTTGATCTTATGGAGCTGGAGAGTATAGTAGTAGTTACCAGAAGTTAGGAAGGTTGTGGGGAGAGAAGGATGAAGAGGGGTTAGTTAATGGATATAAAACTACGGTTATGTAGAAGAAATAAGTTCTGGTGTTTGATATCACAGCAGTTAATAATAATTAATTGTATATTTCAAAACAGTTATAATAATTATAAAAATAATTACAGTTAACAATAATTAATTGTATGTTTCAAAATAGCTAAAAGATTTGGAATGCTCCCAACACAAATAAATGATAAATGTTTGAGATGATGGCTATCCCAATTACTCTGATCTAATCATTACACATTGTATTCATGTACCAAAATACCACACGTACCCCATAAATAGGTAAAATTATTTTGTATTAATTTTTAATAAAAAAGAACTCTCAAAACTAAACAATAACAAAACAAACAATACACTTAAAATGGGAAAAATACATGAACAGACATTTCACCAAAGTTTTTATATAGATGACAAATAAACACCTGAAAATAATGCTCAACATCACTATCCATTGGAAATGCAAATTAAAATTACAATGACATACCACTACACACTTACATGTTAGGATGGCTAAAATAAAAAAAAAAAAATAGTGATTGGTCAGGCACAATGGCTCATGCCTGTAATCCCAGCCAGCACTTAGGGAGGCCAAAGCAGGCAGATCACTTGAGGTCTGGAGTTTGAGACCAGCCTGATCAACATGGTGAAATCCCATCTCTACTAAAAAGACAAAAACTATCCAGATGTAATGGTGCACACCTGTAATCCCAGCTACTTGGGATAATGAGGCAGGAGAATTTCTTGAACCCAGGAGGCGGACGTTGCCCCAAGCCAAGATAGCACCACTGCGCTCCAGCCTGGGTGACAGAGCGAGATTCAATCTCAATTAAAAAAAACAATAATAATGATAATATCAAGTGCTGACAACCATGTGCAGTAATTGGAACTCTTATGTATTTGTAGTGAAAATGAAAAATGGTACAGAAACTTTGGAAAACAGTTTGGCATTATCTAATAAGTTAAAATATCTACCATACAACCTAGCAACCCCAATCCTAACTTATTCTCAAAAAAGTCTTGTACTAGAATGTTCATTAGAGTTCAAAACTGGAAACAACCCAGATATCTATTAATTGGTGAATAGGTGGTATATCCACTAAGCAATAAAAAGAATAAACTAATGATATATGCAAAAACATGGATGGATATCAAAGGCATTATGTTAAATAAAAGAAGCTAAACGCAAAAGATTATATACTGTATGGTTGCATGTATATGACATTCTAAAAAAAAGGAAAATTTCAAATAAAAAGATCAGTGTTTGCCAGTGGCCAGGAGTAGGGGCACAGATTGTTTGCAATGCTAGGATAAGAGAACTTTATGAAGTTATAGAAATGTCCTATATTTTGATTATTATGGTAGTTACACAACTATCTACATTTGTTAAAATTCCTTAAAGCATACACTTAAAATCACTTAAAATCAATTAATCTTACTGTATGTAAATTATATCTAAGTAACGCTGATAAAAATGAAACTCTAGAATTAATAAAAAGGTAAACAATCTATTTTTTAAGAAAAAATATTAAAAAAGATAACACACTGTGATTAGGTGGGGTCTATCTCAGTAATACAATGTTCATTTAACATATGAAAATCATTCAATCCAAATTCACTTCATTAATGGATTAAAGGTAAAAGTATCTGATCATTTCTAAACATCAGTGATTCTTTTATGTCCCCCAGGGGACACAGGTCAATGTCTGGAGACATTTTTGGTTGTCACAACTGGGTAGCAGGGTATTGCTACAGACATCTAGTGGCTAGAGACCAGGAATGCTGTTAAACATCCCACAATGTACGGACGGCCCCCAGTTGAGAACCACTATTCTATTCTACTTTCCCCACTTATACTATGTTTCTGATCTATGTTGCTGTAAGGTACATACATCTAGTCTTCTGTTTCTTGCTACATAATACCTCACAATAAGTAACCCCCATCCACTTACTATGTCTCTGATGACAAATTCCTAGGTTGCTTCTAACTGTACTCCATCATATATGACACTGCCATGCAATCAACAACAGCCTTGTATGTGATCCCTTGTGGACTTCTGTAAGAGTTTCTCTAGGATATACATTCAGGAATGGAACCAGCAGGTCATGCATATGCTTAACATTTATAAATACTACTCAGGTGCTTTCTAGAAAGGCTGAATGAGTGTACACACCATGCAGAAAAGAATGATCATATCAGGCCTGAAACTGCTATTCTTAGAAATACCTGCTGGAAATATTTCCCCTTGACTGGCATCTTCAAATTTGGTTCTCAAGAGGGTTTCCCATCATTACCTGATAAGAGTGGCTCACTGTGTCCAGACTGCCTGTACAATGTGGCTTATGCCAAATACCTGCTTTCCTTCTGGGAATCTGTAATTTTAGTATACATTAGGCAGAGGGTGTCTACATGATAAGCCCACAACAAGAACCTTGGACATAGAGTCTCTAATGAGTTTTCTTGGCAGACAACATTTTACATGTGTTGTCACAACTCATTCCTAGGGGATTTATGTACATCCTGTGTGACTCCACAGACTCCTGAAATCTTGTGGCTGGTTTCCTCTGTACTTTGCCCCACGTGCCTTTTCCATTTGCCGATTTTACTTTGAATCATTTTGCTATATAAATCATAGCTATGAGTATAACCATATTCTGAGTCCTAAACCATATTCAATATAACAATATTATGAGTCCAAATCACTGAACATAAGAGTGATCTTAGGGAACCCATCTCAACACAAAGTCTCATAAGCAAAGCAGGAAAATTTCCAAAAAGACTTACTTTTAGCTGCATGCTTTTGTGTGTCATTTGAATTTTATATTATGTGCACATATCAAATCTTTAAAAAGAAATACTTTATTAAAAGGGGAAAGTGTTGTCAAAACAACTTGGTTGCCTATGAATGAGGCTCAGATGATGTCAGACAACCCGAGAGATCATACAGTGTAACCTCACATTCCAGATGAACAAACCAAAGCCCTTGAGGGACTCGTCCAAAGTAACCCAGACAGACATTACAGATACAGGACTCAAATCCTCACTGTCCTGTTTCCCAGAGACCCTTCCTCTAAGTCCATGTGTTCTTTGCTTATATTTGTCACTTCTCCTACTCTAGTGTCCTTCCCATAAATGCCCTGCAGGGACCTACTTTCTTGCTAACCATGGTCTTATTTCTCAGTTTCCTGGATTCCCTGTGCAATGAATATCTTGAGTTCCAAAATACTGAGTCTCATGGAAACTTAACAGAAACAGAAAAGGGAAGCTGAAGAAAAATCCTACTGTCAAGAAGGAAAGGGAGAGGGGAGGAGAATGGTAAAGAAGGAGATTCTTAGGGCAAATCGCAGCACTTTTCTAAGTCATTATATCCTGGCTAGAGACCGGGGTCAAAATAAGGGCCAGAGAGTAACCCATCCCCCATTGGACAAAGTAGCTGAAAAGAACCAGACAGCTCAAATGGTCCCTCCTTGTTTCCTAACGCCTCTTAAAATCCTCCCTATATGGATAAGGTACTTACATGCTCTAGGAAGCAGGGTCCTATCTCGCTGAGGTGGGGGTCATCATTATTATACTGTTTCTCCAGGTCTCTCACAAAGCCCATCTGAAATCTGTAGATATCTTCAATGTTCCCAAAGATTATCTTCAGTTGCTCATCGCTGAACATGTCCCTTCTTTTCCGGCACTGCTTCAGATAGCCCTGAAGACAAAGGAAAAGCCTAGGCTGAGGAGGTTCTTGACTTACAGAGGGCTTTACACTTCCTAAGCACTTAGGAGCCTCATTCTGGTTCCATGAAGTAGTCATGGAATAATTATTTCCATTTTTCATATGAGGAAACTGAGGTTTACAGAAGGAAGTCATTCCCCCAGTGAGTAATTAGGAAGGCTGGATTGCCAGCAAAGGTCTTAAGAGTGTAAAGACTCCAGAGTACAGCGCTTTTCCCTCCATCCTCTATGAAGAAGACCCCAAAAGTCAAATATCCCTTTCCAAGAAGCTGGTTGAGCACATTTTCACATGTCTTATTAGCTACCGGTTTAGCTGGATCCATTTATATCTCTAAGGTCCTATTCCTTATAGGACCAACCCAAAGGTCTTAATAACACTGACAAAAATTTGGGAACCGAGGCCAGAACAGGAAAACAACCCATAAGGAAACAGTAATTGACAAAACCCAACCATTTCTTTTTTTAAAAAAGAATTTCCTCATGAACTTTAATGTCAGGAAATAACTAGGAATAATTGTTGTTTATCATTTTAGACTTTCTCTGTTGTGTACATCAAAACATACATACGATCTTTTCTTAGACATTCACGTTTCACATACAGTACTTTAAGAAAATGCATTTATACTATTCACATTATGCAAATATCTGCTAAATCATTTCTCAAAGCAAATGTCTCAACTATCTAAGGTACAGTAGCTGTCCAGGAGTGACCATTTAGATGAGCTCAGTCAACAAGCCTATGTGTGCCTGGGCGTGATATTTCTAACAGAGCAGGTTTTTAGTAGACATTTGTAAATAAATGGACACATTAATACAGATAGCCACTAATGAAAGAGAAGAAAGGATGAAAGAGATTTTTGGTCTAGTAAGAAAGCACTGGGGTAACATAAACCAGACTCATGGCATACTGTAAGTCAGGACAAAGACAGCCCCAATCTAAACTGCATCTTCCATTTTGAACCTACTATCATGGATTTTCACTTGATAGTTACTACCCTCATTAGAAATCAGTAGCACATAAAAATGTTCTTGGTGAGGATAAATTATGGTAGTTTGCTTTCATCTAAAAGCTAAGTGAAATTATCTTCACACTTTTTTAAGTGTTGAGCCCCTAAGGAAAAGTTTTACAGTGACTGATTTGCCACCTATAGTCCTGTCCCTATCCTCAGTTTGTCTCCCTTAACACAGCTACCAATGAGGTCATCTGGGAACACTCCAAGAAGATGCTCATCCCTGGCTTCAATGCCTTTTAATGATCCCCTACAACAATATCACTTCCCTTATCTGTTCTCACTCTCCAATTTAGCCATTAATTTATGTGTATCCTTACACAGTTGGCAAATTAATAGTCTACGCCTGTGTTGACATCTGTTTAACTGACAATTTGTGCCCTCAATGACTGACATGTTGAAATTTTCCTGCATTCTTTCGTATGCAATTTTTGACCAGGAAGAATATGCTCTCTATTCTCAGGGCACCCTTTTGGCTCCACTACCTTTACAGAGGTAGCTCCCCAAAGTCTGTCTCTCTAGAAAGCATTACATTGACTACCAGAAAGAATGGCAATAAATACCTGTAGGCCCTTCCCTGCCTTATATGTAATTCCCAGAGCCTAGTATGTCTGGGGTGGTTTGAGCCTGTGTGTCTGTCTGTCTGTCTGTCTGTCTCTCTTTCACTCTACTATCTTTGGAAGTCTTAGCTACAATAGAGCAGACAGAGCAGCGAGCATGTCATCTCAACATTAAATGGGAGCAGAGGCTTCCTTACCCCTTCTCACACTTTTTTTTTTTTCCCTAAGACAGGCTGAGGAGCACAGCTGGGGGAAAAATAGTAACAGTGGCACATTCAATATGTTACTTCTGGCTAAGCAATAGGTACTGATGAGTGACCACAATGGGAGAAAGAAGAGGCCAGCCTAGATAGCTCATTTATCTCCTGATAATCCAGTTCAGAAAATATTTAATAGTTGTGTCCACTACTCCCATTTGAAAAGTCTCAGGGAAGAAACAAAACACCATAAAATCCCCAAAATTCAACAAGGATTCTAGAGGTCAACATCAGCATAAAATATAACAGAAAAAAATAAGAGAGTGGTCTCAGGAAAAGAGAATGAATAGAGATTTAAGTCCAACTTCCTAATTCCCTAAATATGTTACTTACTGACACTCTTAAGGACGTCATTTTCTTTCTATTATATTATGTATGCTGTGGCAGGGGATTTATTAGGGAGAATGCTCACGAGACGGTAGAACCCCAGAATGTTTTATCAACTCTTCTTTTTAAAGCTAACGTTAGATTATAAGTATATAACGGTACATTTAGCTTGATGAAATAGCACATAGCAATTAAAATGATAATTAGGAAGACTGTGTAAAAACATGGAAAAGTGTTTATGATACAATGTTAAAAAGCAGAACATGAAATGGTATAAAAGTGTGATTATAACTCTGTAAATATATATACATATGGACAGATTTGAAGGGATTATGCAAAAGTGCAAATAATTCTGTTACAGTTGATAGATTCTGGCTGATTTTGTTCCTATTTTTAAACTTCCCCTAATGCTGTTTTTTAATTGTCTTCATGATTAAAATGGGATAAAAGTCTTTGCCAGAGAGTGTAAAGAAAAGAAAATACAGCTATAAGAAGTCTGCCAGGAATGAAATATTATCAAGGAAAGAGGAGTGAAGACCCAATGTCTTCTCAAGATCTCCTGCAGCCCTAATGTCTAAGATACTCACTTGCTAATAATACAAATAATAGATGTAAACTGCCCTTATCAAAAACATAAGTGAGGAGACAAGAATATGGGAGTAGTTGGATAACCCCCAAATGTCACCCTCAACCTCTATACCACACAAGCTTCTGGAAAAATAAAAGCCAGGAGAAAGGACCAGTTCTCTGGAGTCTTGCTTTTGTATTCCTTTTTTTTGGCTGGCCTGACGGCTATCAAATTTTCCACATCAGTGATGAACAGAGGGTAGGATTAGGCGGTCAATCAATACTTGACTCCTCTTATTCAGTCATTTTTGAAGGTATGTAAGCTTAAGATGAGTTGGCAGTGAAAATGTGATTGCCAAAAAACCTAATACCATTTTCTGTCAGAAAAAAGAAGAAACATATTGAGAGGCAAAAATGGGAGAGGTAATTGGAAGGTAGTCATACCACTGCAGGAAAGCAGAATTAAATTCTGAGTCCACCCTCTTTTCAGAGGAACACCAAGAGAATAGCACACAACCAGAGGAGAGTGAGCAGGGTAGAGAAGGGCCTGAAAAGCAACATCATGAAGAATGATGGAAGAAATAAGATGTATTTATCCTAGATAAGACTCAGGGCCCTTATTTTATCCTAGATAAGACCTGTTCACAGGGCAGGGGGAACAGAAGGGGTCTGTGGCTCTTACTGGCAGGTATGCTTTGAATACTCTTTGACTCCATCTCAATGGTAACAGGGAACAGGGTACTATAGCTCAAGGGAGGCAGTTTCCCAGAGCCTCACCTCTGTCTCCTAGGAGTAAAGTGGGCATGGGTGGGAAGGTAGGCCAAAGAGTAGCTAAATGTGGGTATTATCAAATCAGTCACAATTGGCACAAATTAGCCCTGGCATTGTTACGGTAACAACAAGGAAAGCTGCCCATCTATTTCACTTTGTTCTTAAACCCACCAGGGCTGATCTACAAGTTAAGACCTAGTGCAAAGATCTAGAAGTAATGCATTGATTTGGGATATAAACAATACCCAAGATCTCCAGAAAAGATCTTAAAAACTACCAGGAAATAGGGTGAACCAAAGAGCCTCTGGATCACCCAGGGTTTAGGAAATTCTTTAGGGAAGGGCCCTCACAAAAAGTTTAGACCTCAGTGTCTCTGTCTCTAAAATGAAAACATCAAAAAAGATTTCCATGGATCCTTTCAGCTCTGACATTCTAGTGATTTCATACATCTAATTTTTGCCTGGAACCTGAGGCCTAAAGGGAGACCTGACAAACATCTTGAAGATTTTTTAAAGAAAATTAGGAGACAATGACCATGGTTATTATTCAGTGCCACATCCTCAAAGTTTAACAGAGTATCTGGCATATAGTTGCTGCTCAGTTATTTGTTGACTAAATGCTAAATAATTAGTTCTCCCCATGCTGGTGATAATCAAAGGTAAATCAGAAGCAGAATGTTCAAATTGGTGGTTTTCTTTTATTTCCTTCTTCCCTTCTTTGGGATAGGAAACCCATTCTTCAAATGAAATAAAAAGCTATTTAAAAACAAGAGAAGAAAGAAGATAACTGCAACATGGAAAAGTGACAAGGAGTTAATATCTAGAATACACAAGTAACTCTTTTAAATCAGCAAGAAAACTATAAGAAACTCCACGAAAATGCGCAAAGAAGAGAAACAAGGCACAGAATGCCCAGATTGAATGAGCAGGTAGGGCCTACTGCAGGTAGAAACCCCTGGGCTTGTCATTTTAGACTGACTAGCTGACTCACATTACTCTTTTATACAATGTGTTATCATTTTCTATGTGCCAAGATGTAAAGACTATTGGGAAGTATTGAGATAGGCAATTTGTAAAAGGGAAAACTCAAATGTCTAAAAAGTTTGAAAACCTCAGGCTTAAACATACCAAATGGAAATGACTTGAAGCTACAGCATGCCTAAGGAAGAATTTCTTGATAGTGAATGGTATGACCACTAATACAGATGAGTGAGGAAAGCTAGGCTAGCTTCTCTGGAAGCATCTAAAGATAGAATTTATTTCATAGGTATCAGATGGCTGAGATTATCTTCCTCAAGAAAAAACAGACAAGACAGCTTTATAAACCATCTAGCTCTGCTTACTCTTGCCTCAGTTTTCTTGATTGTACTTTGAGTTATAAGGTTAAGAAGCAATATCACAAATTGTTGGTCAAGGTGATCTAGAACTAAACCGAAGGTATTTTATATCACAGTCTGGGTTTAGAAAGAAGAATGTAATCTGC